TGAAAATACCAAACAGAGCGAAAGACTGACACTCGTAACATTACAAGCACATAATTGAGTTAAGCTGGAATCTTGAATGAATTTTAATGCCTGGAAAGTTAATGTAGTCTGAGAGTTTTGTCTTTTTAATTTTCAAATGGTCTAATATGAAGAATGCATTGCACAACATTGATCATAAATTGGGACAGGTGAACAGGGAGCATGTGAAACACACACACTATCAGGGATGGTTATAAATGGCACCTGAATACCTCAGATCAGTCCTTTTTAGTAAACCACAGATTAGTTGTGTATGTTACAGGTTACAAAATTCCTCCACCCCCATGTAAGAAATCACTTGATAGTAATACCTGGAACATCACATTTGATAATGTCCCATGCAGGGTTGTTCATGCATATGGCCGACCATATTGTAAAAACATACTGTAGTTAATAGTAGTGAAAACTCAGTGTGTAAGATCAGAACATATATTCAAGGTAAAATGGATCTCTTTCATTTTCTGTAGCCCACTAGCATTTACAAGTGATGCATCACAGATAAGGAAATTAGCTGCCAATGGGACTTTTTGTATGTTTATTATAAAACTGGATGGGTTGGATCAAGATTGACTGTTTCACAAATGAAGGGCTCCTTCTACTCATAGAAGGCACGAAAGCTCCCCACTGGCAGAAGAAAAGGAGATAACTGACCTGTCTCTCAAACACAAGGCCCCACAGGGCCTCTATCTTGTCAGTAGGGGTGCCAGCTTGAATAAAATATGGGGGGGGCAGGTAAGGCCCACCTCACATAATCAATGCCAAGATGTGGTGCACACACATCATTTGAATGGCAATCCCCATCAACTGGGGGGTGGCCAAAGGGATCTCAGTCCCTAGGAGGTGGCGCCTATGCTTACCAGCATTTAAACTCAGTTTATTAGTCCTCGTCCAGTCCACAGCATTGGCAAGACACTAGTCCAGAGTCTGCACACCCAGTCCCATTTAAGATGTTACTAGTGGCGGACCATGGGGGTCTCAAATTTCAGCAGTGCCCCGTGTGGCACCAAAATTTGGTGCCCCCTGCCTCTCACCCTCCATTCTACATCATGGCTGTGGCACCCCCTGCAGTGCCCTCGAGGCTCCATGCTCGATGCAGCCAAACTGGTCGCACTCCCCTAAATCTACCTCTGATATTACAGATAAGTAGAACTGTGCGTCATCAGCACACTGATGGCATTTTGCTCCATATCCCCTAATGATTGCTCCCAATTGCTTCATAAAGATGTTAAATAGCACCAGGGACAAAACAGTCCCCTTTTGCACCCCATAGCACAAACACCAAGGGGCCAATGAGCATCCACCAATGCCACTCTTTGGAACTGACAGGGCATGTAGGATCATAACTCCTGTAAAACAGTGCCTCTGACACCCATCTCACAGATCCTGTGCAGGAAACTACCATGGCTGATAGTACCATGACTGATAGTATCAAAAGCCACTCCACTTGTCCTCTATCAAAGTACTCCACTTGTCCTCTACCAATCATCAGGTTGACCAAGGCTGATTTGGTGCCAAAACTGACTCAAATGCATCCAGATAACCAGTTTCATCAACAAACCTCTAACTCTCAAGGATTTGTTTATTTGTTGAATTTATATTTCATCATTTCCTCCAAAGAGTTCAACAGTTCTCTCCCATATCGTTTAATCTCCACAACAACTCTGTGAGGTAGGTTCAGCTGAGGGGCAGTGACTGGCCCAAGGTCACCCAGGGAGCTTCATGGCGGAGTGGGGATTTGAACCCTGGTCTCCCAGGTCCTAGTCTGACACTCTAACCACTACACCACACTGGCTCTCATTAATTAACATGCCATAAGCATAGCAAACAACATGAAGGCAAGTCCATAACTATGTTCTTACTTCTCAATGACTAAGATTAAATGATATGTTGAAAATATGAGAAGCCTTATCAGACACACAACACAGAACGTGCAAATTACTGCACACCATTTAACGGATAACACTTCAAAGCAGACTCGGTTCACTGATGGTTCAGCTGAAAGTTATCAAGTGACATCACTGTGTAATATATATTTATGTGTAAATGTGTCCACAATGCATCATTATCAGAGAGCAGAGAAGTTTAGCAAAGCCTCTCCTCCTCCCAGAGGGGAGGTGTTGTGAGTGGGAACCATTCCCATGTCAGCAGGGGGACATGTTCAGCCCCCTGTGCCATCTCCTAGCTGCCATGCCACCCCTCCAGCAGGCCAGCCAATAGGGTTGGCCTAGGGGCGGGGATTAGCCACATTCAAGTGGCTATGGCAGCTTCTGCGCCTCATTCTGCCCTTGGAAGACGTCTAGGGCCATGGCACGACCCCCAGTGACATCAGGGGAAGCTTCCAGTTGTATTTGCATCAACAAGCTCCTCCCACTGGTTGTTAACCTTCAGATGACCCCTCCGCTGCACGGGTGGGGTCATATATAGGTTGTTTGATCCAGTGTTTAAGCCAATACCACTCACATGCTGTAACCAATAAAAGTTGTGTCCTTTTTCAGCCCATTAACCTAAAATACTTGTGTCCTTGTCTCTTATTCACCACCACACGGGTTCGGGTCCTTGACTCACAATGATGACTTTAATAGGGGAGGAATGGGCACCATAATCAAAGTAATTACATTCACCTTTCCCAAGTCAAAAAATCAGCTAAAGGCTCCATTGCTTCCTTTTGTACTATAGAAAGTGGTATGATCTGAACATCCCACACTGCCTCATACCAAGTCAGACTAGAGGATTGGCATTTGCTCTCCAAGATGTAAGATGCGAGACAGGCCTTTCCCTGCCCTTCTATTTTAACTGGAGGTGCTGGGGGCTACCAATTTATTCTGATGAAGCTTTAGATTAGAAAGATCTGTACAAAGCTGAAAGAAGGAGAGTCATTTTGGAGTTGACAAGAAGAAAAACAGAACACACTTTAGTCAGAGGATTTGCAACATTATCAACAGACTATATTTCAGACACATAGGGTGAGGTCTGCCAAACCTTTGTTTTACAAAGCAGCTCCAAGAGCAAGCAGCATGTAGTGGATGACCTTTCAAGCTGCAAATGTGATGTTATCTGTCTTCCTATCTCTGATTAAAATCAAGATCAACAAATATGTATTCTGATTAATGCTAAAGCAGAGTCTGCTATCAATAAACTGTTTTCTGCCAGGGCCATCAGTTCAAACTGAATTTATTTCTTCATGTCAGTGTCATACTGCTGAATTGCCACTGTTTTGTCTCATATACAATTTGAGTGGCACATTAAAACTTTTCATTTATTTTAAAAGTGCAAATTTCATAGTTTGCTGTAGATAGCAATGTTCTCCAAGCCTGTATCACGTGTTGGGCATCTGTGTGAAGTGGGGCATGCCAGTCTTCTAGTTTGCAAAGAATCTCATTGGCCTGGTCTGACCAGGCCTGTTTGCGTAAAATTTGCTTAAGCAAGGGAGCAACACTGGCAAAAAACTGAAGCAGGAAGAGAACTGGAGTGAATTTTTTATATTCTCTACATTTTTAATATCTTTGTTTTGGTTCCTATTCCGTACTTGCACCTTACCAAAGACAACTGTGGCTGTCTTTTGTCTTTCAGTCAGCCCAATTGTATCAGTGTCATATTCAAGTGCTGGTATGATTTAAACATGGATGCAAAACTAAGCTTAACATACTTAAAGAATTAAACTTCTGTGGCGTTTGGGTACATGTGAGCTCTTAGCAAAATCTAAGGTGAAAAAACAGGCTGTGAGTGTGAAGGGCCTGGAACAGTAAGTAATATTGGCTGTCAGGCTAGATTAGTGAAGGAAGCAGGAGCAAGAGTATGGAACCATATTCTTAAGAGTATTTTAAGTGCCAACCTTGAAAGAAGTCAAATAACACATCCTGCACAACAGGCAAGGTTTTGCTGGATGAAAAAGGATAGTGATTTAACAGGTTGTTTTCTTCAAAATACTGAGACAAAAGCCACTTCTCTTTAATAGATGTTATGATCTCCTTATTCTGAATACTAAGGTGGAATGACACAAATATAAACAGATTTCACTTTTTGATACTGAAATCTAAGAGCTTTGTAGTTGTATTCTTATACTTAGTTTTAATGTTTGTTTTTACATTGATGTTTGAGTCATTTTTCTGAAAAAACAACAACAAATAAATATTATTAATAAAACAATAATAATATCCAGTTCAAAATCCAAATTTGTCCATCTCATAATGCTCAGGTGTAACAAAAATTGAACACTATTCTCTCTAGAAGTTATTTTATGTCTCAGAATGCAAAATGACATTCTGCGTGTGTCATGTGTGTACCCAAAGCTATCTGCCCTGACTAAGCATTTATTGTTTGCTGTGAATAATGTGACCAGATCATCTAACCAAGTAGACTTTTGTTTGATGGTAAATTAATTCTTATTATTGTTTCTTGCAGAAATTTAACATTGTTAATGTTGCCCATCCAGGTCTAGTTGAATTTCAAGTGCTATGTTGTGGATGTAGCTAAAACTAACAACAATTTCCTAAGGGTCAATATGATAATGGGTATATGCACAGCACTATCAGTGCATGTGATGATAATTCAAGCCAAGAGAGAAATCTATGAACCTTTCAATCTCTCCCCCCACTGAACCTTCTCTGAAAAACTTTGTTATGTGTGAATCCATTTGAATTGAGACAAGGGTAGTTCCTCCAGAACAAATTCTGAACCATCAGAGCTTGACTTTCATAATCCTACAGTTGCTACAGACACATTAGCACTACTTAACCATTTGACAAGACTATAATGAGCAGGTGACTGGGATCATCTGTCATGACAATTATGGGAATGAATAAAGGCAATGTCAGGTTTGGATCAGATTTGTCTTTCAGGATTTTTCTATCACCATTCTCTTGGATGCTTCAGCCATGTCACAGGTAGACTAGAATAACTGCCAGATGTAACCCAACAAGTCTTTATAGCTGAGCTAATTAATTGGAAGGAAAGCAACTTACCCATGAATCTGGGAGATCAACGTCCGTGAGAGAGGAAGTAAGACGGGGCTGGTGAGAGCAACAAGTACATTTTTCCCACTCCTCTATCCTTGTAATCAGGAAATCACAGGGGCACAGCTGGTTATCAGGAAAAGGTTTCCAATCACTCCAGAGCTGAAATTCAGTTTCTGAACGGATGGAAATATTTCCTAAGTTGCTTAGCCTGGAAGTATAAGATCTGCCCAAGGAAGTCGATAGAAGGCCTGTTCTTGTCTCAGCTTCATCCTTTCGCCTTGTATTCTCTCTCAATACTTTCTTGTCCTGGGATTTGGTTAATTTCATACATGATGTTGGAGCTTCATCCTCATCTTCGGAGACATATACATCTTGTGGCAGTGGATCTTTAAAAAGTTTAAAAATAAAGAAATGAAACTGTGGTTTGAAACAGTGTTTTATCTTCCCACCCATCCCCAAAGACACATAGAAATATTGGGATGCAGGCAATTCTGTACTGAACTTGTGGAACTACTAACACACACTTGTAGAAAGTATATGATATTTGTAAGAGTTGATCTAGGAAACTGACCCCACAATTATGACCTACGCACCTAAGATTTTATGCAGAGATGGCCACATTTGAATGGTCTATCCCCACATGGGAAAGTGAAGCCAGCAGAGGTGAGCATAGTGTGCATGTTTCACATGATGAGCTGCATTAACTCTTGAGGTATTGTCTGAACCAGTTTGCAGACATTCTGTTGAAGCAAGGAAGTCTCTAACTTCCCACTGATCTCACAATGCATAGATTCTTTCAGTTTACTCAGGAGACACTATAGTCTCCCCAGGACATATTTAATTTAAATAAATGAGGGAATAAAAAATTTTATGCATAATTTACCTACTTTGGTACTTATTCTCTGAACCTACATAGAAAACTGAAACAAGTGCGAGCATATATAGACTCAAAAGGTGTCCCTTTACTTACTGAGAGGTATCAAAACATGTTTGATGTCATCCAAACTGTGTATACTGGCTTTCTTAGTTTGCACTAATTTCTGCAACCGTTTTAAAGTTCCCACTGTTTCTGATTTATTTTCATCAGATTCTGCAACCTAGAGTAGAGAAGAAACATATGGTCAAAACACATTGAAACGTTTGTTTCCCTCTCTTCGAAGAAGCAAAGAAATACAGTGTAATTTTTTTTTGCAAGCTCCAAAGTTACTCTGAGGTGTTCTCAAAGGTGCTACAAAAAATATTAATTAAATCAGCCAGCTGACTGATGCAATAGCGGCATGATTACTTGAAGGACAACTTGAAAAATAGTCTCATGGAAAAGGTTGAATTTCCATTTCTTGGAAATGCACATTTTCCTGGCTTTCCAAACATCATAGTTTCTACTGCATCAGACTACTAGTTGACCTAATCAAATAGTGTCAAACATTGCCTACACTAACTAGCAGCAGACAGGAGTCTTTCTCATGTGTCTGAAGATCCCTCAATAATAGTGTTCCTGGATTGACTGCACTACCTCTTCTCAGGTTACAAGCAGTATGTGGCTTTGAAAGAAGACAGAAGTTACGGTGGAGATAGTCAGCCTTTGGCCTTCAAAAATTAATGGCAACCTCTCTCCCAAGAAGCAAAGAAATACAGTGTGATTTCTTTACAAGCTACAAAGTGACTCTGAAGTGTTCTCAAAGGTGCTACAAAAATATTAATTAAATCAGCCACAAGTATATAACTTGTGAGCTTCTTTCTTTGTGAAAGAAAAAGAAAAGAAAATATGTAAGGATGCACTAGCTATGATTATGGAACTGTAGTATTTCACTGTATATAAGAACATAAGAAGTGCTATGCCTCATTCATTATTACTTATTGACAGCTGCTAGACATAGCAGTGCAGAAGCAAGGTATGATGGCAATGCCTATTTCTCTACTTTTGAGTTCTTAGGATTTGGTGGCCAGAGGTGTATTGGTTCAGAACTGTCTATATTGATTTTTGTTACCAGTAGGCCTATCTTCCATAGAATAAGAAAAAGAATGGGTGGGAAAGTCCCATTGGTTCTCTGTTTATGCCTGCAAATAGATCTCAAATCCAAACCAGACAAGCTGTTTTTGCAATAATTCAGATAGTAAAGGCTGTTATACAGAACCACTTGGCACATAGCTATTAGTGCTACACTAAACCATTTGTGGTGCAGCAGCTCGACACTGGTGAAGTGAGTTTTTCTTTTTTGTGGCTATGTTTGCATTAGTGGCTTAAAACACTGCAATATCATTTCCTCTTGCTGCATTTTCAAGTAGCTTTTTTCCACTGCTGTTCACAGCAGAGCAGGACTGGAAATATCTCCAACCAGTTATTTATTTGCATGCACCAAACTGCAGGTCAGCGATGCTTTCATTTGCACATGCGCAAAAGCAGCCTGAAACTGTTCACACCACGACGGAACCATGAACTGTTCACACCGCAAAGGAAAGCTGGTTTGAGAAAAAGCTAATCAAAGAGGAGTATTTTTCTAAAAGCTACAGGATGCAGATGGAGTGTGGCTAATGTCATGTGAACCTGGATTTAAAAAACAGTGGTAGGAGCACACTGGAGCCACAGTAAGCAGTAATGTGAACACATCCTCTATTGTCATAGAACTCACTCCTTCAAAAGGTATGAAGGAAGTTTGTGCACCAAGTCTGTTCCCAAGCTGTTTCTAGGTCCAACTCATATTGTTTGGTTTAACCTATAACATCCTGCATTGCTTAGGACCAGCAGTATCTAACGTATTGACTTTTCTCATATATACCCTTCCCTTAACCCTCAGGTAATCTACAGAGACCCTTCTATGAGTGTCTCCCAAACCTGAAGTTCAGAGGGAGGGCAAGAAGGGAGAGGGCCTTTTTCATGGTGGCCTCCTAGTTATTGAACATTCTCCCCAGAAAAGCTTGCCTAGCGTATTCATTAATATTTTGCTGGCATCAAGGAAAGTCTTCTTTATTCTCCCTTGACTTTACCTTAATACTTAAAACATTAATCTTAACACAGACACTTTGGAGTCTGTTTCTATGGTGGATAGGGTGGATGTGTTTTTGCTCTGTTACGTTATTTTGGTGCTCTGGAACCAGGTTTGGGCTCCTGGGTTTTTTTGTGTTTTTTTAAGTATACATGTGATTGTATTTTATGAATTCTCTGTTTCTGGTTTTTTTTAATGATTCAATAACTCAGGTTATAGGGCAACTAACAAATGCAACAGGGAAAGAGAGAAAGATACATGTTTCCATTTGGCAGCTATTTTGTGCTCATCAACCATTGGGTTATAGTTCAAAAGTCTCTTTAAGTACTAGTATTTCTGTTACACTCCTTCATGGATCACTGCCTTGCCATAGCGAAGGGGCTTGAATAACTCAGAGAAGCTATGAACTATGCCGAGCAGGGCCGCCCAAGATGGACAGGTCATAGTGGAGAGTTTTGACTAAACGTGATCCACCTGGAGTAGGAACCAGCAAGCCACTCCAGTATCCCTGCCAAGAAAACTCCATGGACAAAGACAACAGGCATGTGCCTGGCGTGCTCTGGTCCATGGGGTCACGAAGAGTCGGACACGACTAAATGACTAAACAACAACAACAACATTTCCATTACAAATGTGTGGAATACCATTACTAAGCTGGTAAAGGGTAGTTTCACAGAGTACTTTACCCTAGGAATATGATATTTTACTAGAATAAATATGTAAGACACTACATTTTTGAGTAAGCTAATGGAAGAGTTCTGAAACAAATGGTTCTTCAACCTAACCATAGATTTCAGAGTACACAAATCATATGAAGAACTGGCAGGTTTGTAGAATAGGGAAAATATAATGGAGAAGAGATTACAAAATAATAGGATCCTGAGATGCAATATAACATTACTGAATATGCTGAACCAAGCGTGACCCCCTGAAATATAAGAATGATTTTTACATATCTGAGAACTTTTCATCAGAACTCTATTTGAAAGATAAAAAGCAGTCTATAGTTTTGCATTGGATTTAATTTTATTTGATGCCATCCTCAGCTGGTGCATGTTGACGCAACTCAAGTTATGCTTGAGTGTGTGGAATTGGAATAGAAAATCTAATTTCATTCACAGTCATCTTAACAAGAGATGCAAAAGTCTGCATCTGGGGGAAGTTGCATGTTCATTTAAAATATCAAAACCACTTGGTTGGGTCAGACATGCTTGAGATTATAATGCCATTCCATTCATAGAATGGGACTTCAAAATGCAGAAGGGGTCCTTTCCTGAGCAGCTGGAGTCCTGCCATTAATGGATGTTCCATCTGTTCATGCAGCAAATAGATTCAAGCCACTGTGCAGTACTTTGGTGGGTACCACTCCACCAAAAAGCAATGGGAATAATTATCAGTGAAATGGCTTCTTAGCTGACAACACAGAAATCATTGCATTTTAGCCAGAAGCAAACCTACCCAAGTCAAGTGGATTGTTTAGCAGACAACGTGTCCAACTCTAATTATTAACTGAGAATAACATCGCTATGAATTTTGAACTGAGGTCTGAACTTGTATTTTATTTGAGGGGTAGATGGTTGAGCGTCTCAAAGTAAAACGGGAATATAATCTACTCAAACAATTTTGCTAATGGATGAAGTGTAATCCTCTTTGTTTTAAGAGCAGTTACTGTGGAGAGGGGGAGAGTTTTATGTTAGCAAAAGTCATGTAAGCAGAACAATAAATGCAGTAGTTATATTTTACTGATGCAAACTGTGTTAATGAAAGCTTTGGAGTTTTCTTTTTTGCTTTGATTGATAAGCACCAAATGTTCTGGGGCTTCATGACCACAGCAACTTATCAGAAACAGGATCTGAAACAGTTTCAGAGCATCACACTACTATGTGGGGGTAGGGGAAATATCAACTACAGGAAGGAGGGAGGTTGTGTATGAAAATGAATGAATAAAAATTAAATATATTTATATCTGGGACAAATAAACCTATTCCTGTCTTTCTTTTGAGTCACTCAAGCATGTGCCTATATGAATGGGTCACAATCATACAATGTATGATCTATGCTAAACCCATACGGATATCATTTACTCTGAGATTTGGAAGAGCTGCTGGTCAGTCTTGAGTCAGAAAGGCAGATAGTGTGATCTGGAATATGGCCCCTTTCTATATTCCTAACCTGAATAGTACCAGAAAGCACACAGTTATGGAGAATATACTTTAAGACTTCATTGTTTGCACTTCACCTTAGTGGAGAGAAGTACAGGGAAGCAAATGGGGCATACTGATCTTTCACGGCAGCCGCTGTACTGACTGCTATAATAATAATAATAATAATAATAATAATAATAATAATAATAATAATAATAATATATTTATACCCCGTCTGTCTGACTGGGTTTCCCCAGACACTTTGGGCAGCTCCCAACAGAATATTAAAAACATGATAAAACATTAAAACTTCCCTAAATAGGGCTGCCTTCACATGTCTTTTAAAGTCAGATAGTTATTTATTTCCTTGACATCTGATGGGAGGGCGTTCCACAGGGCAGGCACCACTACTGAGAATGCCCTCTGCCTGATTTTCTGCCTGGTTCTTTGTGCATCTAGAAGGGTGCAGGGCTGCGTTTTGGTCAAAATTGGGGAGTGTCAGGTATGGGGCTTCTAGGCTTAATTCAGCTCTCCATCTTTCCATAATCAAAACACTGCCTTATCTTAGTTGTCGTGATCCTACCAGTTAGCTACATTGGTCAGCATTTGACTAGCACAAATTTTTAATAAACTTTTTTCTTATCAGAGTCCTTGTAGATAAGGTGAAATGGGGGCAACCTGATCTCCTAAAATATCCGCAGGCACAAATACTATTGAGGCACACTCAACTTTGGCTGGCAAATCAGTGTGAGGGCACAAATACATAGATCTAAAAGAGTTTGCTTCTATAATGCTCTGCATGTTCATTTAGTCGAAGAAGGCTTTTCAAAACACTGCAGCCAATGTATGATTCAGCCAAAACGAAAAGGGAATATAAATTGTGGAATCTCTCTTACTGTATCACTGGATGCACTTGGGACATGGTTCTGAGGTGGAATCCACTGTTCAAATGTCATTACCTTGGCCACAAAAGGGTAAACAAAATGTCAACAACAGGAATTGCAACAGCACCATGTAGATATATCATGAAAGCAATTGGGCTATGCAGAATGCATTTAAAATAAAAGGTATCAATAATACCAATGAGGTAGATTTTTAAAATCAGTTGATTGGCTGTGAAGCCCCCCACATAGTTCTCTGTTGTCAAGTAAGAACTGTCCAAGAAGAAGAAGCAAGCCAAAATTAACGTTGGGCCTCAATTCATTCATAAAATAATATAGATGCTACCCTTGGGGGGCATAGCTCTCCCAGGCTGACTTACAGCATCTTGAATTGCTTCTCAATGACATAATGGCCTAGTTCACATGTAACACTAATGGCCTTGTATAAATGAATAAATGTCCTGGTTTGCATTTAGAAAATTACAGCCACTTTTCTTCTCCCTCAGAGCTGCTACTTCCACATCATCAGGAGCTAAGCCATGGTTTGGCTTAGCATTATATGCAAACCTAGGTTTGTGGTTTGTCTCACTCCAAACCAACCCCAAGTTGCAACACACCAGTTGAGAGATATAATTGGGTAGCAACTTGCTTGCCCATTGATAAGGGAACCCCTTTTGGTTCCTTTTAATTTGTTCGCGGATTTCTGAGATATCAATAACAACAGCATCATTAGGAACACCTATTTCTGCTGTGTCTTCTAGTTCTTCAGTGTTCAGCAACTGATGAATCATTAATTACCTTTATATTATTATGCACAGGCCCAAGGGTCAGGCTTCTTTAATTGCTCATACTAGTGGGTTAATTAATGTAGTCTTTTGAAGACAAGTGCCTGGAGACACAGTATATGTTTATAAAAATTGAGAAACATTCTGGACACATACACCAAACTGGAGCTGGCTAGATTGATCAAAGCACTTAGGGTAGGTCTGTGCCAAGTAAAATTTCACAATACTAATTTAATGGCAGCCTAGTTACGTGTTTGCGTGTGCTACAAAGCATTAAAACCTTATGGGTCATATATAAAAAAAACAATAACCCACTGAATAAAAACAAATCAAGAGAGATACTCAAACTTTCATTCTTTACTTAGTTCACCAGATACACAAACCTAGTGTGATTGTGACGCGTTCATAGGAACCTGTCTTGAAGCAGTTTCCTGGCCACATTTATTTAAAAGAGTGGAAAAATAAAAAAATTACTCTAAATACGCTTGCTCCCCACCAGTGGCGTAGCGTGGGTTGTCAGCACCCGGGGCAAGGCAAGTAATTTGCGCCCCCTAACCCGTGGATTTGCGCCCCCTAACCCGTGGATTTGCGCCCCCTAACCTGTGGATTTGCCCTAACCCCAGATGTTGTGCCCGGTGCGGCCGGCCCCCCCTGCACCCCCCACGCTACGCCACTGCTCCCCACACGAGATTATTTTCTCCTTAAGTGAAGCAATTACAGGAGATACATATCTGGTCCAGAAGGTTGGCAAGAACATACAAGGCTGCCCTGTACGATCATCTAGCTCAGTGTTGTCTACACTAATTGGCAATGGATCTCTAGAGAAGATCCTCTCCTAGACCTACTTGGAAATTCCAGGGATTGAAACTTGGTCTTCTGCATCAGATGTTCTACCACTGACTTACAGCTCTTCCCCTAACCTGTCGGAGTGCTTGTGACCACCAGGAAGCTCATGATCTGACTAATGTGGATTGTATGAATGAGCATCTATTATAAAAGCTTATAAACATAGCCAGCAGGAGTTGCTCAACCACCACAGACCAAAAGAGAACCACCAACTTTAATAATTTGCCAGGCCCATTTGTTTGAGTACACAAGAAAAATTATGCATGACCCTCCAAGCAGGGTGCCAGGGTGGCTCAATGGGGATGCTGTGGCAGGGATTCCATTAGCAGTCCTTAGTCAGAGAGCAGGCTGATTAAGGGAAAAAAATATCCAGCCAAGCCTACAGACACGTGGGATCCATTTTGCAGCCCAGTCTAGAAAGAACTTCAGGCAGGTATTTCTATTGCCCAAGTTCTGCTACAGTTTCACAGTTACCTGACATGTAGTTTCCTCTATTCTTGTTCCTTGTAGTAAATGAAACCTTTCTCTGATAAGAAAATCTTCATTCATTTCTGTCCGGAGGTAGGGAGGAATTAGAAAAGTACAAAGATTATTATCACGAAGAACCTAATTAAAGTTTTTGCAATACATTTTCATTGAAAATAGAATGAGTAACATATACAAATATAACAGAAACATGGTAGGAAACGCAGAGATATATTTTTACCACAGTAGGAAAATTGGAGTTGTTCTTTCTTTTTTAAAGCTTTCAGTCTTATTTCCTGAAAATTCTTTTTTAAAGCTTTCAGTCTTATTTCCTGTGTTCTCTGGGCTGCTTCCCTTCCCTTATAACATCCTGTCAGCTTTAAAAATATCCATTGCCTCTTGGTATGCTGTAGACATTTAAAATAGCTATGGTGATGGGGAAACTTAGAGTACACCAGACACCTAGGAGGTCAGAATATTTATGTTCTTTGACTATAGGATAAACACATATTGTCTTTCACACACACACACACACACACACACACACACACGGGAAGCACTTTCAAAATTTTCTCTAACCATAATAATGAGTTTTTACTGTTTGAAATCAAGATTTTCACGAAGCAAAGTTCTTGTGAAGGTTTTTGTTTTTGTTTTTACTTCCATGCTGCTTTCCATAGTGGGAACATCTTTACTATCCCAGTCTTTCTAAAGATCACCACTATGATTCATCAGCTACTTAAGCTGGTATACTTGGACTTAAACTCATTCATGCCTAATTTGTGGATCACTAAAGTAGCAGTCCCAAACATATTCCAATGGAAATACTTGCATGCATCTGAACAAACTTAGTTAGCATTAGACTTTTGATCTGTTTACTAGCTAGCTCTAGGCAAAGCCTGCAAAATTCTGAGCCTCGAAGCAGAATTCCAACAGCCATCCATGTATTGTGATTTGCTACATCCTTAATAACCCACTTCCTAATTTTACAGTCCTAAGCAGAGGTAGGAAAAACCGAAGGCTTATCAATATGTAGTCAGGTGTGTGAATTGTGCTTAGGAATGAAATAGATGTCACTGTAGATGAAATAAACAAATAATAACTCTGTGCCTCTTTCATTGCATCTGGCTAAAACTGATCAGAAATTTATAGCAAAGGGGAAGTGTTACCTTACATTTTCGTCTCAAATTAATAAAGAACATTTCTATACTATTACTATGTATAGGTGTTAAAGGAGGGGTAGTACCTCTTGTTGGAGACACATTGTGCTCCTTCTGGGGTACTTTGTCCACCTTTGTTCCCTACCCTGCACTCAGTTTTCACCTGTGGCTCCTAGAAACTGTCAGCATGTGACAGTGGCTGCATTGATAACCAGGTGAGGGTAGCCGATGAGTCTTAAAACCTCAGTGAGTTAGGGACTTCTCCTGCATGTGAAGACAGGCTCCGGCAGATGGAGCAGACAAGACCATTAGTGTGTCCACTGGTCAAGAAGGCACTTACTCCACATGCTGTAAGGGAAGCAAGGGGCAGATGGGGCTTGTCAACCTGGGAATGTAGTTCATCCAAGATAAGGAAGACTCTGATCCTAAACCTCTGCTGCCTTACAGATATATACATTCACGAGAAAGACTTTGGGAGGAAACCCAAAGGAAAAATCCATACCCGCTGCCTTGTGGGACCTATTTGGGAGAAGAAAAGGCTAAGGAGTAAACCCTACACAAATCCAGAGTGGAGTTCCTAAGAGGGATGGATGGTGTCTTGTATGCTTCTTCCACCAAACATATTGCTCATTTTTCTTTGGACCACATCAGTAAGGATGAGAAGAGAGACTTGTTGTCTGGGCAGCCCAGGAACCCCATACAAATTGCCTACGTTTGTGCCCCAGATAGGTCACTTTGGTGCTGCTAACACAGCAAAAACATTGCAGGAGGCAGCAGTTATGAGTTACCAGCCTCTGCAGCCACAGCAGGCACTGTGATTCTCCAGAGGTTTGGCTTCACCCTGGAGATGCACTCCATTCTCTTGAGACAGATTGATGCCAACGATAATAAGAAAGTCTACTTTTGTCTTCATTTATTTTCTAAATTCTTTTATATGGCATGATTATTTTTTAAAAAAATATCCAACTCCTTTAGTTTGTATTAGGTGAAGTTGGATGATGTATTTCAACCAAAATCTAATTAGAGATTTCACCCCTCGATCCTAAACCTTTTCACTTGCAAACAGCTCATTAATGTAAATGGAACTTGAATGCACATGAGCACATAGATTACCACAATTGTTTTAGTAGTATATCAAATCAGTCTACTTTTCTGGAAAATGTAAATTATGTTCCCTCAAAATGTTAATGTCAGCAACAGTTGGTATTATTATTCTTTTGGGAAATGCAAAGGTGTTACCAAAATCTGCAGTATCATCATCCTGGGGAACAAAGCTTTGTATATTCCCTTTGCAATAATAATAATAATAATAATAATAATAATAATAATAATAATAATAATAATAAAAAATACATTTGTATCCCACTTTCCTTTCATCATGGAATTCAAAGCAGTAGAGATGGGTTTCTACTTGATTTTTCATTTCAGCTTTAACCAGACCTACTTAGCTTCAGCTATGGGACGCGGGTGGCACTGTGGGTAAAACCTCAGCGCCTAGGACTTGCCGATCACATGGTCGGCAGTTTGAATCCCTGCGGCGGGGTGCGCTCCCGTCGTTCGGTCCCAGCGCCTGCCAACCTAGCAGTTTGAAAGCACCCCCGGGTGCAAGTAGATAAATAGGGACCGCTTACTAGCGGGAAGGTAAACGGCGTTTCCGTGTGCTGCGCTGGCTCGCCAGATGCAGCTTGTCACGCTGGCCACGTGACCTGGAAGTGTCTGTGGACAGCGCTGGCTCCCGGCCTATAGAGTGAGATGAACGCACAACCCTAGAGTCTGGCAAGACTGGCCCGTACGGGCAGGGGTACCTTTACCTTTACTTTTACTTAGCTTCAGCACAGATCCTATTTTATTGTGCTATAAGTGCACAAAAGTCTGCTAGATCACTGCTAATCAGCACAGAAAATATTGAACTAGACAACTGCTTGTAAGCCAGGACCATGTGCAAAACCCTCCACTCTTGCAGCTACAACATCTCCTTATGCCTTTATGTCTCTCCATGTGCCTTTTCCTGCTGTAAACTGTGCAGGAAATACTGCATAGCAAGACAAAGTCAATGTGCAGATCCTAAAATGAACCCAAGCAACCAGGCCATCTGGCAATGTAGGAACTCTCTGTAGGATTATTCAAAACTATGAAGGGAGAAGTAAACTGTACTACAAACTGGGACAAGACCCTCATGGTGTGCCAAGGGAAATGAAATGGTTAAAGAAAAGCTAAAAGATAAGATAGGCTCATGAATAGCCTATTTGAAATCATGGCTTTAAGGTGCTTAAAGTTAAGCCTGTGGTTTAGTGCTTTGATTCATCAGGGTCTAGTTTCTGTGGGGTCAATCACTTAATCCTCACACCCAAGTGCCTTTAGAAAGGAGGGACAAGTAAGGCGAAAGAAAGAAGGAAATAGAGAGGCAGCTTACCCTGATTCAGTGAATTTTAAAAACAAACAGGCATAACATAAAAGTTGCCATGTTCTTGTGTCAACTCTCTTATCTAAACTGAGTAGACCAGAACTCTGAAAGGACTGCATAGAGATAGCTGCTCCTCAAGCTATTATGTACTACCCTCAAGTGTCATGATAACTGGTCTTTCATATTGGCTCCTTTATTCAAAGTGGAAAGGTAGCAGGAGCACCAGTGGTTAAGGTGGTAGATATGTAAAAAAATATTTATAGCTGTGCTTGGCCACAGCTTCCTGGCTCACTTCCCCTGTATGTCTGTACCTTTCCTTGGAAACTCCATTCATATACTGGTGTGTCCATAGTGCTGTGTAACATCAGACTGATAGGACCCACCGCAGTGTTGGCAAACCATAGTGAAATAAGCCTGCATACACACCATGCATTTGAAGAACCTTATGTCAACATTAGTAAAGAAAAAGCATTTTATATGTGTTATAACACTGTGACATCAGAAGGTGCTGTGGAGTCCCGTCTTTTGCCAATGTGATTTCCCATAATAAAGTGTACAATGCGTTTTCCTGAAACACTTTTTTGATGTGCCTAGATCCAGCCCTAGTTTGTTAAGTGTGCGAGGAATTGTTGCTCTGTAGGAATAAATTACAGCTCCCAGGATTCCCAGGAAATAATGTGCTTTAATTTTTTTGTGTGTATCCAGTCTGAGTCTAGTCTAAAATGCTGTATGCATGTCTTCTTCCCCGTCCCCAACCCCACATGATTTTGTCTCTAGTAGGTAAAGGTAAAGGACCCCTGGACGGTTAAGTCCAGTCAAAGAAGACTATGGGGTGCGGTGCTCATCTTGCTTTCAGGTCAAGGGAGCTGGTGTTTGTCCACAGACAGCTTTCTGGGTCATGTGGCCAGCATGACTAGACTACTTCTGGCGCAAGAATTAAGCTGCACAGATATCAATGAGAATTACATCAAAACAAAAAATGTTTAGGCTAGAAAGACAGGAAGCAGTCCTATACCAAGTCATACCATGGGTCCATGTAGCTCAGTACTGTCTACTCTGACTGGCAGTGCCTATCCAAGATTTCAGGCAGGAGTCTCTCCTGGCGCTACCTGATAATGCTAAGGAATGAACTTGGAACCTTCTGAATGCATAGCACTTGCTCTGCTACTGAGACAGGACTGGGGTTTATATTTCTCCCCCCCCCCCATGTGGGTTTCCTGTTAGAAGGCTTTGCTACTTCTGTTTTCTACAAAGCACCTAGCATACAGTTCATCGGAAATACATGTCAAATAGCAGGCATACTAATCTTCTGCCAGGATCAAAACAACAGCAAGCTGGTTGCATGAGGGTCTTCTGCTACATGTCAGCTACAGGAAGCATTTAATAGAAGCCATGCAGTTCCTTGCTTCAACTTTCCACTTTATTTAAAGTGCGTATCTTTCCCTTGGGGAAGAGTCAGCCCTCCCCACCAGAGGCCTTGACAAATTATTTCACTGTTTTCCTCTGTGCCCTTTAAA